CTGCAAAAAGGGCATGGGGCGGCATCCTCTAACTTCACGAGGAGGAGAGAGAATCTCTATCAGCATCAACAGTCTAAAGCTAGATCCTCTGAGGTCAAGGTCAGACCTGCCAGCACATTCCAACCTTTTCACCAACCATCCCTCTCACGACACTATTTCTTCTGCTGGGTTTGCTAATTCATTGCAATGGCCACACAGAGTTCACAGACAATACACATGATTTATGGGGTTTAATAGGGAAGTAAGTTCAGGAATTCTCAGGTTCAGATATGCTCTTTGATCAGGAGAGCTTCCATTCAACCACGTCCAAAGGCACGCCTCTCTTTGACCCTTAGCCTCTCGGCCTGGCCTCTGCCCTGCTCAGGCAAGTTTTACAAAATTCTTTTAGATCTGCTGACAGGTGAACTTAGGTGCACCCCACTCTGCCAGCAAGCCTCCTGCTGAAAGGCACGCAGCTAACCACAAGCCTGGTAGTTCAAACCCACCAGCCACTCCTTGGAAGGAAAGCTGGGCTTCCATAGTGATACCACCTTGGAAACCCACTCAATGTCAGTGAGTTTGGTTTTGGCTGGAAATTCAGGAGGGATATAATCAAGGTAATATTTTGGATGTTGTGGATTTGTTTTAATTGTCTTCAACTTCACTTTGAACTCACAAATGAGCAGTTGATGGTTCCACAATGAGCTCCTGGCCTGGTTTTGGGCGAAGACACTGAGCTTCTCCATCACCTCTTGCCACAGATGTAGCCAATCTGATTCCTGTGCACTCCATCTGGCGAAGTCCACATGTATAGCCTCATTTGTGTTGTTGAAAAAAGGTATTTGCAATGAATTAGTCGTTGGTCTTGCAAAATTCTATCATGCAATCTCCAGCATTATTTCTATCTCCAAGGCCAACTTTTCCAGCTACCAGTGATTCTTCTTTGTTTCCGACTTTTGCGTTCCAGTCACCAGCGATAATCAGCACATCATGATTGCATGTCTGGTCAATTTCAGACTGCAGAAGTTGGTAAAAATCTTCAATTTCCTCATTTTTGGCTTTGGTGGTTGGTGTATAAATTTGAGTAACAGTAGTATTAACTGGCTTTCCTTGTAGGCATATAGATAATATTCTATCACTGACAGCAATGTACTTCAGGATAGATCTGGAAACATTCTTTGTGACGATGAATGCCACGCCATTCCTTTTCAATTTGTCATTCCCAGCATAGTATATCATATGGTTATCTAACACAAAATGGCCAAAACCAGTCCATTTCATCTCACTAACGCCTAGGATATCAATCTTCATGTGCTCCATTTCATTTTTGACAACTTCCAATTTTCCTAGATTCATACTTTGTGCGTTCCATGTTCTGATTATCAATGGATGTTTGCAGCTGCTTTGGCATTGTGCCTAAGGCATTTGACTGATAACCAGAAGGCTGGCGGTTCAAACCCACCAGCCCCTCCTCGGAAAGAAGGCTAGGCAATCTACTTCTGCAGTGATACTACCTCAGAAACCCAAGAAGGGGTCACTATGAGTCGGATATGACTCTACAGCAGTGGGTTTTGGTTTGGCTTCTCATATTGAGGCGTGCTACTTCAGCAACTGGAGGCCCCAAAAGCTCTACTTTGTCCATATCATTAAGGTAGACTTTACTCTGATGAGGCAACTCTTTCCCAGTCATATTTTGAGCGTCTTCTGATCTGAGGGTCACCATCTTCTGGCACCGTATCGGACAATGTTTCAGGGCTATTCTTAAAATTTTCCAGTAATATATCAGACAGTGTTTCGCTACTATTCTTAAGGTTTTCTGGCCAATTCTTTGAGAATGGATGCCCTCTTCCTTCTTCTGAGTCTATTTCAGTCTGGAAGCACCACTGAAACCAGCCCACCATATGCACCCCTGTTGGCACAGCCTCCAGCCTCACAGCAACATCATGCCACCACAGTATGACAAACCAACAGACCAGTTCACCTCCCTTAGCTGTTCCAACCGCTCCACTCACTTCCTGGGCTACCCCCCACCTGTTCTTGCCAGCCCTGTCTGCCGCTGCTCCCTGCCACCTGATAGCTGTCCCCTGCCCGCCTTACCTTTTCTGGCTGCCAGCCCTAGACCACAGCTAAAAAAGCCATATTAAGTAATTCATGGCACCACACAGTCATTCAAACAGAACCAGGAGACACTGCATGGTTTATAATCAGGAAGGGAATCGGGAAGGGAATGTGTCAGGGTTGTATCTTGTCACCATACTTATTCAACCTGTATGCTGAGCAAATCATCCAAGAAGCTAGACTTTATGAAGAACACAGCATCAGGATTGGAGGAAGAATCATTAATGACCTATGATGATATGCAGAGGACACAACCTTGCTTGCTGAAAGTGAAGACCTGAAGCACTTACTGACGAAGATCAAAGACTTCAGTCTGCAGTATGGATTACACCTCCACATAAAGAAAACAAATATCCTCACAACTGGACCAGTAAGCAGCATTGTGATAAACAGAGAAAAGAACAAAGTTGTCAAGGACTTCATTTTACTTGGATTGGATCCATAATCCTTGGAAGGAAGGCTGGGCAATCTACTTCCGTAGTGATACCGCCTAGGAAACCCAAGGAGGAGTCGCCATGAGTCAGATACAACTCGAGGGCAGTGCACTGCATTGTTGCCTTGGTTCCATTATCAATGCTCATGGAAGCAGCAGTCAGGAAATCAAAAGATGTACTGCACTAAGCAAATCTGCTGCAAAAGACCTCTTTAAGGTGTTAAAGAGCAAGGATGTCATTTTGAAGATTAAGGTATGCCTGACCCAAACCATGGTATATTTCAATCGCCTCATATGCATGTAAGAGCCGGACAATGAATAAGGAAGACCGGAGAAGAACTGATGCATTTTAATTGTGGTGTTGGCAAAGAATATTGAATGTACTGTGGACTGCTAAAATGAACAAATCTGTCTGAGAGGATATAGCTTGAATGCTCCTTGGAAGTGAGACTGGCCAGACTTCTTCATCTCTTGCACTTTGGCCATGTTGTCAGAAGGACCATTCCCTAGAGAAGGAGATCATCTTGAACAAGTAGAGGGTCAGCAAGAAAGGGGAAGACCCTCAATGATATGGACTGACAAAGCAGCTGCAATGAAGGGCTCAAACACGGCAAGGATTGTGAGGATGGCGCAGGACCCGGCAGTTTCATTCTGTTATACACAGAGTTGCTAAGAGTAAGAACTGACTGGCCAGCACCTAACAGCAGCAACTGTGGGTAGTTTTCAAAGACCTCTCTTCTGCTGGAGTGTGCAACCTCAATGGGGTAACCTTCCTCCCAGAGTGAAGAACAATCTTACTGCCTATAGCTATCCATCATGCCATCCACATACAGCGTGTAAGCACATATACAGTTTGTCACTGCCTATGGCTATCCATCACGCCATCCACATACAGCGCATAAGCACGTATACAGTTTGTCTGTGGTATTAAAATTCCATGGGGTGGGGCAGGGCTGATCAGGAGTAAAGCAGGTTCCTTGGGGGAGTATGAGTGAAGGAAAGGTTAAGCAATGCTGCGTGGAGCTGAGTTAAGAGCCTGGTGTCACCACAATCCCTTTTTTTGTTCATTTCAGTTCCCATCTTCACACAAAATCCTGGTTTGGCTACTCAGCCCAGATATGGGAAAGGATATGAAAAGTAACTGGAAAAACTGCCTGAACATAGTATGACCCTCCAGGTCAGTGGTCCTCAAATCTGGCTATGTCTCAATCACCTTTGTGACATTTTGTAAAGGAAGGACTCTGCCTCTTGAACAAACACCCTGAGAAGCTGGACTGTATGAAGAAGAGTGCCACATCGAGATTAGAGGAAGACTCACTCACAACCTGCACTATGCATAGCAACCTGCAGATGATACAACCTTGCTTGGCAAAAGTGGTGATGACTTGTGAAGCCCTTACTGACAAAGGTCAGTCTTCAGTATGGATTATGCCCAAACACAGAGAAAACAAAAATCCTCGCAATAAGCAGAATCATGATAAATGAATAAAAGACTGAGGCTGTCAAGGATTTCATTTTACTTGCACCCACAATCAATGCCCATGGAAGCAGCAGTCAAGAAACCAGAGGTTATACTGCACTGGGCAAATCTGTTGCAAAAGACCTTTGAAAGTATTAAAGAGAAAAGCTGTGACCCAGAGCACTAAGGTGCACCAGACCCAAGCCATGGGATTTTTTACTTTCCCCACATACACGCAAAAGCTGGACAATGAGTAAGGAAGATCAAAGAATTGATGCGTTTGGATTATGGTGTTGGTGAAGAATGCTGACTACCATGAAATGGCCAAAGAACGAGCAAGTCAGTCTTAGAAGGAACAGAAGCACAACGCTCCTTAGAAGTGAGGATGGTGAGAAAGCGAGGATGAGGAGACCTCCTCAGGCTTACTTCTGACACATTATTAGACCAAGGGCATCCTGTTTGGTGGAGAGTCAGAGAAGAGGAGGGAAACCCTCGATGAGATGGACTGACACAACAGCACCAACAGTGGATTCAGACAGACGAACGCTCACCAACGTGGCACAGGACCAGGCAACATTTCATATGTTACACGCAGAGCAGCCCTGTTCACTGGAATGACTCCCTGGGAAAACAAACACTGAGACCCTGTTCTCAGCCCCACATTCTCCTTCCCTTCCCCCCTCTACACCTGTGCTTTGTCTTCACAAACGCCTACAGTCGGAGTTTTCACCCCTTCATCTTTCCCAACTGGCTTACAACCTTCCAAATGTCATTACCTTCCCCATTCTGAAATACATTTGTGCTAAATTCACACTGAAATGATAATCCCATCCACTCTGCTGTAAGTGCCCAGAGCACATATTCTCTCCTTGATCCTCGTGTCAAGTGCACCTCCAACAGAGAGCCTAGCAGAATGGAGGTGCTCACCGAGGCACTCAGTTGAAAAATGCAACTGAGAAGATGAAAAATAAAGACAAGGTGTTTAACTTGTGAGCAATAAAGCCTTCTTACCTACTAGTGTGGATGTTTTCTTTAATGGTTTTAAAGAAATCAACATAATAGGTCACAGCAATGGACGTCAAAATCCAGAATCCGGAATGGATATTAAGCCTTGGAAGAGGTTTCTCCTTTTTCTCAACAGCTGTAGAGGTTTCTGGAAATAGGGGAGATTTCAATTTATCAGGAATTTCATGTTGAAAAAGCACACCTAATTTTAAACCAAATCATTTTCCAAAGCTTTCTAAACTCTGGATCCTCTCCGACCACATCCCTGATTTCCTGTGCACAACCATCCTGACAGGTTTATATTTGCAGAAATAACAACTAGGAGCCTGCTATAATACAAAGGTCCCTGGGGGTCACAAATGGTTTATGCTTGACTGCTCACTGAAAAGCTGAAAGTGCAGATCCATCCAGTGGCTATAAAATATGCTCAATAATCAACTCATTTCCTCTAAATAAAATTTTTAATCAAATTTACATACTAAGTTACTCTGAAGGCATGATGCCACCTGGTAGTGTAGGAATTTTTACATTATGTTACACATTTCATCTACGATAATTGCTGTCATCAAGTCTATTCTGACTCACAGTGACCCTATGTGACAGAGTAGAGCTGCTCCCTAAAGTTTCCTTGGCTGTAAGGAGCTCCAGTAGCACTGCACCTAAGGCATTTGACTGCTATCCACAAGGGTGGCGGTTCAAACGCACCAGCCATTCTGTGGAAGGAAGATGGGGCAATCTACTTCCATAAAGATTTATCGCTTCAGAAACCCAATGGGGGTCAATGTGAGTTGGAATCAACTCGATGGCAGTGGGTTTTAAACTTTCCAGTAGCAGATAACCAGGTCTTTTCTCTCACAGAATAGCTAATGGCTTCAAATAACCAAGCTTTTGGTTAGCAGTCAAGCACTTAACCATCACATGAGGGCTTCTTGAAAGGTAATTAGTCTTATGGCCCTGGGTCACCCTTTTGTTGTTGTTATGTGCCATCAAGCTGGACCTGAGTCAGAGTGACCCCTCCTTGGGTTTCCGAGATGTTATCACTGCAGAAGTAGATTGCCCAACTTTCCTTCCAAGGAGTGGCTGGTGGGTTTGAACCACCAGCCTTCTGGTTAACAGTCAAGTGCCTTAGGCACTATACTACCAGAGTTCCCTGGGTCACCCTTAGGGCCTGGAATATAAAGAAAAAAATAAAAGATACTATGGATTGAATTGTGCCCCCCAAAAACTACATGTTAGAATCCTAACCCGTTGTGGTAGTTACGTTTCCGTGCTAACTTGGCTAGGCCTGATTGGGTGGCTGGGCAGCTAGATGTAGTACTTCCCATGATGAGTTTGGTAATCAACTCCATGGTGGAATCTACTGTGAGCTGCTTTAGGGATGTGGTCTGCTTCCTATATATAAGAAGCCTTGGGGAATGGTCTCTAGCTTATAGCACGCTTGAACCCTGCATGTAGCTGTGTCATTGTTCAGCAGCCTGCCATGTTCTACCAACCTTGGGACTTTCAACGGACTTGCATTAATGGCCTGCCATATGGTTTGGTAATATCAGACTGTGTGTTTTTACTTGTCAACTTTGGGCTTGTCAGCCTCAGCAGCCAGCAGCTGCATGAATGAAGAAAAGCCTCCAGCTTCAGTGGGCCAGGAGCAGGAGGCAGAGCTGAAGCCCAAGCTTGAAGGACTTTCACCCAGCCCCTAGAGCCTGGCACTTTGAACTCAGATTTACAGCCTCCAAAACTGTAAGAGAATGAACTCCTGTTTGTTAAAGCCATACCATTTGTGGTATATCTTCTGCAGCACCAGGGAACCAAAACACCCCTATACCTGTGGAAAGGAGCCCTGGTAGCACAACAGTTAAGTTTCAGCTGTTAACCAAAAGGTTGGTGGTTCAAACTTACCCAGTGGCTCCATGAGAGAAAGACTTGGTGATCTGCACCAAACTCACTTTCCATTGAGTCGAATCCAACTCACAGCAACCCTATGGGACAGAGCAGAACTGCCTCATAGGATTTCTAAGACTGTAATCTTTACAGAAACACACTGCCACATCTTCCTCCCATGAAGCACCTACTTTCCTGTTAGCAGCCAAGTGCTTAACCACTCCACTACCAGAAAACCAAAAACCAAACTCACTGCCGCTGAGGCGGATCTGACTCATAACAACCCCTCCTTGAGTTTCCGAGGTGGTATCACTACAGAAGTAGACTGCCCAAGCTTCCTTCCAAGGAGTGGCTGGTGGGTTTGAACCATCGGCCTTCTGGTTAGCAGTCAAATGGTACTACGCCACCAGAGGCTCCTCCCATAAAGATTACAGCCTAAAAAACTCTAGGAAGTGCAGTTCTACTCTGTCACATCAAGTCCTTCTGAGTCTGTTTTGACTCAGTGGCACCAAACAATAGCAGCATAGCCTGGACGTAAGCCCATTAGGGAACAGGGTTCTCTTGGTTATGTTAATGAGGCTAATTAGCATAGGGCATATCTTAACCTAATCCCTTCTGAGATATAAAAAGAACAGATTAGGCACAGGAGGAAGCACAAATGATGGCTCAGGAAGACCACCAATGAACCGAACGATACCGGGGCCAGAGCAGCTGAGACAAGGATGCTTCCCAGCGCCAACAGAGAGCTTTCCCTTAGAGCTGGTGCCCTGCATTCAGACTCCCAACCTCCTAAATTGTGAGAAAACAAACTTGTTCTTTGAAGCCAAAAAAAAAAAAGGGGGGGGGAGGATAATTAAGTCTTGCTAATTAAGAAACATGCAAAAGGCAAACATTAAAGCACAACATGGGCTTGCAATCTATTAAGAGTGCTCCTTGCAATCTATTAAGAGTGCTCCTTATAAACTAAATGTTTCAATTATTTTAAACATACACAAAAGTGGGAAGGGTGCAGTAGAGTTCTAGTCCTAGCCCGGCCCTGTCTAGGCAGGTGAGAGACAAGTGTTTTCTTCCATTTGGAATCAGATTTGAAAGAATGGGTCAGAGGAGTTCCTTTTAACAAATTCCCCAGGTGACTGTGACATGTTCTCTCTCAGTTCTGCCAATAATCAGGGGCCTAGATCCCAGGTTCTCTGCCTTTAGCTGCTCATGAGATTCCCTGGGGAGCTTGTCAATAATACAGGGCACACCTTCAAAAACATACAAACCACCATGCCTGGCCATGCTGTTTTATTCTGAAACAGTAATGAATGCACCTGGTCCAGGCACTCTCTCCCATCCTAACTGCACTTCCCAGAGGCATCCACCAATGCCAACGGCTCCTCAATCCTTCCAGAGGTATTAACACACAACACAGGTTATCTGTTTTGTACCCAACTGGTAGTAACATAGTTCTGCACTCCCTTTGAAAGTCTTCCACGCTTGTCCAAAAAGAGTCAGCCTGGTGTCTCACGTACAGATATACTCCAGTGTATTTAACCAGCTCTGCTCACGGGGCAATCGGGTATTTGCAGTTATTTGGAATTACATGCAATGCCACGGTAAAACACTTGGCACAAACGTCTTTGGGTACTTGTCCCAGTATTTCCCTTTGAAAAGTTCTTAGGAGTAAACTGGTGAGTATGTTTCGTTTTAACAGCTACAGGCAAACAGGTAGCATATTTAAAAAAAAAAAAAAAAAAAAACAATAAATGATTTATTTGGAACCACAGTAGAGTTTGCCTTGGTTTAATTAGTAATAAAACATTATTTCTTATTTTAACAAATTACAAATTATCTTTAGTAAAGAAGATAGTGAGGGGAAGGCAATGGGAATAGGCAACAGGGGATCGTAGAGAAGGGGAAGAATGAGGAATGGTAGTGAGGAAGAGAGGCAGTTGCCCAAATCTTAGTCTTTCAGCTAATAAACTGAAGACTCCTCGAGCATAGAATAATTTGTTTCATGGGAGATTTAAAAAATATGGTGGAAGAGGGTACTTTTAAAACCCCTTAACAGTCATGAAATCTCAAAACACCCAGTACTCTGGTCTCCCAAGGCGAATGGATTTATCTCCAATCCCAATCATGAGGATTGTATTTCCTCGGATGCTTCTATCTATTGTCACTAGTGGTTTATTTTTCCATATACTTTTTACATATCTGTCAGCAGTCTGGTACAATCCCTCGTCTCCTCCCACATGGATAATGGCAAAGCTACCTGGCTGGTTCCTCTGCCTCCAGTTCCTCCATCCTCTAATGAAAACTTCATTCCATTCATTCATTTAATAAATACCTCTAACGGCTGTGTGTTGTTTTCTTCTTCTGGTTTATTTCTCACTATTCTTCATACACATCTCTTCCGCCTGACAGGTCTCTACTACGTTGTAATGCCATGCCTTTATTCATTCCCCACACCACTATCCCCTACCTTTTCTGGAATGCCTCTTTCTCACCTACCCAAGCCCTGCTGTGGCCGTTACGTGTCATCGAATTGGCTCCAACTCAGGGTGACCTAAGCCTTACTGCCTTTCAACTCAACGTTACGCTTTCCATGAAGCTGTCCCAAGCTACTCAGCCCAAACTGGTACCTGTGGGCCAATATACCTTTTCATGCAATAGAATGAGTAGCATACTTAGCTCTTTTACATTGTTCTTTCTTGCTTTATGAGTTACACTTGTTCAGCTAACTCCTGCTTTCCCAAACAGGTAGCAAACGTTTTGTACACCACCACTCCAGGGGATTCTGAAGGCAGCTGACATGAAGACTCGTGGGGCTACGTAAACTCTAAGGACCTTTTACGACAATAAACACCCGACTTTCAAAACGACTTTGTAACCATTACAGCCTCGGAAACCAAAACCCGGAACCTCCTGACTGGAGCGGGCGGGGGAAAGCCCGCGGGGCCAGCAGTCTCCGGACGCCTCGCCTCCGGGCACCTCGGAGCGCACCCTGGGGAGAGTGCCTCACCCGGCGCGGCGTCGCCCTCGCTACTCAGCTGGGCCTCGGCGTCCAACGGGATGAGGTATCGCCGCCGCAGCTGCTCACGAGCCCTCAGAGCGTCCATCTTGCTCCCGCCCCGAGGCGCGGCGGAAGTGACGTCACCTCACGCTCTCGCAGCGGCGCTCTCCTGACCGGAAGGTGGGGCTTAGGGTGGAGACTATAGTTTCTTCTCACTTTTAGTAAGTGAGCCTCTAAGGTGGGGTTGGATGGCCGCTTCTGCGCCGGAATACACAAATGTGATTGGCATTTCAAATAGTGATCCTTCGCTGGTCGAAGAGCTCCCAAGTTTATTCCGAGCCACGGAAGCATAGAAGGACCAAAATAAGTGATGCCGCTGGGTTCGCGTTGGGAAGAAACGCTGTGGTTATGAAAAGTTGTTTTGTTCACATTGCTTCCCGAGACTTCCCTGGCTCCTCTGTGCCCAAAGCAAAAGAAAACTCTCTTTGCAGGCCTCTCTCTGCCCCCAGCTTTCTTAACCCTGCTCTTCAGGAGTCGCCTGGCTAGAAATGAAAGGATTGGAGGCAGCCCCAGGAAGGGGATGCTGGGCCGGGAGCTCGCACCTGCAGCTCAGCCTCAGAACCGTAGGCAGGAAGCAAACCTCTCTCGGCCTGTTTCCTTTTCTACGCAGCGGGGAGAGTG